ATTAAGCCCTAAATAGCTTGAACATGTTCTGCTGTGGATAGAAAATTGATAACAAATAAAACAAGGAAAGGATCCTGAAAGTTTAACATTTGCCCTCCACCCAATGTTTTAATGCTTTGCATAAACCCATGTTGTGATTTACCTAAATTTTCACTTTAGCTTTGCTCTGAACTTGAAAAAGTGCGCTGCTCACCAAGGTTCAACCCCTTTGGGCGAAACTTTAGGTAGAGCGGTGCGCATTAGTAAAATGAACTTTGACGTTTTATGCTGGAGGATGATTGTTAGTTGTGAGCTGCAAAAACAAGCTCTGCTGGAGCCTCATTATCCTGTTCTCTGCTCCATGCCCTGAATGGCTAAGTGAGCCGGCTCGTCTCAAACAGCGGACTGCTGAACTCTGGGCTTGTGGATGGATGGAGGGGGCAGAGGGTTTGCATAGCTCAGAAGAGCAAAAACCTTCACTTCATTGCAGTTTCTGGGGTGATGGATGGAGCTCATTAGTATTCAGGGTCTCAGTCTCTGTCACGAACTCTGTGGCTAGTGTTTTTAATTCAGTGAAATAGCATAAAAGTGGAAAAGTGCACGTGAATGAGCGTATTTTCCTCCAAACTGGGTATTAGCGAGCCTGTCGTGTTTGAGGAGATGAATCAACCTTGACAGTGCCAAGGCTTCTGCTCTCCAGAGTTTAAAAAAAAAAAATCTTTTGGAAGTTTCTGGGCTGTCAGAATCGCACTTTCTTTACTCTGACTAATCAAAGGGACAGTTTGGATGGGTTGATTTGTTTCAAGAAAGACCTCATTACCCCTACATCCTCCTGTGGCAGCAGATGTGATCAAATATTTATGTGATGGGGATAGTTTATTATTTTTTTTAGAGATCGCTCAATATGTCATAGATACCTGTTCTTTTCTTTAAAGAGTAAACTTTTGGAAAAAACAAGTTTTTCTCCTATAGCTTTGTATCAGAGAACAAATAAAAATTTTCGCTACAGTAAAGTTCAAGTGGATTTCCTTTTTTGTAAGGTCCCCAGCTCTAAAGTGTCCTTATCTCGACTCATAACAGTGTTTTAGGTCTCTATTGTCATTCTGAGCTTTTATAACATTGCCTGCTTTTTTCCATTTTGGAAATAGGTTTATGTGGTTTTGCTATGTGCAGTGTGGATTTAAAGGCTTATTTCTGTGATCTTTTCTTGGTAGATTCTGTATATTTAATTGACAACAAGGTGATTTTCCTTTGCCAATTATTATGTTAAATTACAGACCTCTGCTAAAAGTGAAACAGTGATGATCTTTCACTGTAATGCTGTTGTAAAGAATAGCTACGGTCATTAAGGTTTTCACACCAAATGGTGTCAAATGAACCAAAGCCTGTTCCCCTCCTCGCCTGTGGGGGCGCTGCACAATGAACCACAGAAGAAAACAACACACAAATATCAGAACAAAACACTGACCACAACTTATTTCTTAATGAAATGTAAACAAAAATGAAGTGGCGGTAGATTATTGCAGGATTTCTCTTTTTTCTTTGGTATAAAACCTCTGGTCATTTCTCCCGCTGGTGCTAGACTCTCGTTTTTGTTTTGGTTGTATTTACCCAGAATGCCCTGCACTGTAGTCTGCTTCCTGCTTTTGCAGCGGTTTATGGTCTGCTTGATGTTCACATATGCATTCAAACCGGTCCAGGGTTTACTTCAACCGAACTGAGAGGTAGGTTTTTAGGCGGACCAAAGTTTAAAGTTTTTGGTCCTCATCAGAATTTGATTACACATTCACATCTCCCCAAGCGAACCAGACAAACAAACTGGAGATCCACACAGAGCTATACAATTTAGGTAATCATTTGTTTTCCAGAAAATTTGAAAATTGTGTGAATAAGAATAGAAATTGTTGGTTTGAGAGTTAAACCCTTCACAAAGCTGGTGAGTCCTCTGAGCTGCCTGTTTTTTTGCTCCACCGGTCACTTCATTTAAGAGCCAGACGTTGGCTCTTAAATGCCAACGCTCCGCTGAGGAAAGCCCACAGTGTGTTTTTAACTCCGCTGCCCTCTCTTTGAACGCTACCTCAGCGAGGCTGTGCTCTCATCGCACATTATCTCCTCGGGGGATTATAGCACTCCACGCTGGAGAGCCGTCCCTCTTATTTTACCTCTTCAGACTGCTGTAATTCACCTGCTTTTTACACTTTGTTCTCCCCACCACCCACTGTGACAAGTGTGTGTCAGGGCAAAGCCTACAGGGATTAAAACCCCCCATCTATTCAGGGGAACCCGGTGGAATTAAATATGAATGAGCGTTCAAACTGTTCTAGTTTGTGCATATTATAAAGTTCAAGAAAATGTTTCATCTGACAGGATTTATGTTTACATTTAAAGTTGGGAAAAGATTACAAGTCTGTAAATTTGAGAGAATTCAATCGAAAGAGAAGAAATGTATTTGAAAGGTTTGGAAATCTTTCTTCCCAAAATACATTTGTAAAAAGTAAAAACTATTATTTCTGATATTGTTAGAAACAATATTAGATTTTAGCCTTTGAATACAGTTTTGACTCCAGTATCTATAGGCAGACATATTAAGCACTGATGGTATTTATCAGAAATGACTGCAACAAAACAAACCAAGGCCAAAAAATGTTTTAAAAATGTTCCTAATCATCCGCAAGATTATGACGGAAAATGTGCTGTGATACACAAGTGCTCTCTGTATTCAGTTCATTTCTATTTTCATTATTGGTACAATGGTGTTGCCATACTAGCTCATTCCTTGGTGATCTGTTTCTCTGTTTATGATTTAGATCTAAAATTAGTGTTTTGTTCTTTGTGCATTTGGATTTATTTCTCTTAGATCAGTTTTACTATGTTCCCAGTTGGTTTATGTTTACCTGCGTTTCCATGTTAAATGTGCCTGAAACTTCGTCAATATTCGATGTAATGTTAAACACAATTTTACAATTGCAGTGTTTCCATTAAAAAAGAAACGTAATTAAAATCACACATGAATAAATTTGTTCACCGATAAGTCATTTAAAAAAATCCATCATCCTCATACCACTTCCTGTCGTCTTCTTTGTCTTTTCTGCCAATTTCACCCAGTCAGAATCCAACAATATTTGGGAAAATTTCCTTGTTTCTCAGTTTGAGAAATGTATTAAAATTCCCTTAATCTCTTCTGCAAGTGTCAAACTAAACACAGGAAAAATTTTTGTGTGTCTTTACTTAACAGCAAGCTGAACTATGCGTTTTGTCAATTATGTAGATTTTTATGCTGCTCTGGCTTTTAATGACTTCTGCTAAAAATTTGGCACTTCTATGTTTTGGCAGCTGTGCTCAAGCTCTGTGGGATAACTCAAGCTGTGTGAGTCAAATTGGATAAAATGGAGCAGCAATGAAAGATGTAAGAACTTCGTCTGATATGGTTTACTTTGCTTATCTCATCATTTGAGCTGCACAGTATTTTAAATCCCGTCATCTTCTCAGTATCTGCAGCATCGCCATCACAAAGAGCTGCTCGAATGAAATATTTGGTAGGCTGTATCATTTCAGGTGTCATGCATTAAAGTTTTTGAGGAAGTGAGTTTGGGATATTGTGATAGGAATAGAAAGAAAAATTAAATTATGACGTCAAATTTAACGCCTGGTTCAGCGTTATAACCTTAAAGCTTATTAAACAGTTTTCTTTTCACAATCCCCTTATTCTTTACATAAAAGCAGTTCAGCATAAATTGTGAACAAATAAAATCATTGATATTTATTTTAAGCTGCTTAGGACTTTTTCAGAATATGTTGAAACGTATAGTTTTTATAATTAAGCAAGCTTATTAGTTCAAATTTAAAAATCAACATTTCTAAACTCATATATTTTTAAAACACTGATGGTTTGAAGAAATAGAAATTACAATGCCACTAGGCTCTGATTTATTCCTGGATGCAACATGAAGTGAAATGAAAAGGAATTAATCGACAGTATTTAACTTTTTTTGGGTCAACTTGTTCAAAATTTAACTTTTTAATCTTTCTGTTACTTCAAAATAGATTATTTTATTAGCTTACAGACAGGGTTTCTCCTAGTGTATTATGATTTCATTTAAGAAAACTAGTGTCAGATCCTCAAAGAACAGAAAACAATGACAAACTAATAAACAAAAATCAAAAGAATGAACTAATATGGTAACACCTTCCAGACAAAAATGAACATGGAGAGATGAACAGCATATGGCAAAACCTAATTGCCGTTACGACTGGAGCATTTCTTTCACAAATAAAAATATATAATTAACTCAATTTTTGTGTTTCTGCACAATTAAACTGATCAAGCATTTTCTGGTTATGAGGACTCAAATAAAGAGACCTGTGCTACAGGGACGAGTTGATCGCTGAGGCTGACGCAGAAATCGAAGCCAAAGCCTCGTTGTCAGAGTTGTAGGCCTGGATCTCTCTGCTGCATGAATCATAGTAATTGGCTCTTGTCTCGGTGGAGGAGTACAACATCTATTAGCTTGGAGGTGTTAGACTGAGGCGTGTTTGGGTTTTGCTTAGACAACTGGATATAAATGCTGTTGAAAGTTTTCACTCTGTTTGTTTGAGATGAAAGTCTGGATCCAATCCCAGCGAATGGGAAACAAGAAGCAGGGTAAGTCAAGGACAAGCTGCCAGTCAACTTTACGGTCAACCCAGAGATAAACAATGTTTCTCACATGATTCCACACCTACAGACAGAGATTATCTTTGTGGAAGTCTTTCTGAATCACAGTTTGAAGACAGCTGGAGATTTTATTGGGTATTAAACACAACTAGAATGAATCCACACCCAGCATGATTAAGAAGAGGAAATCAGAATATTCATAATTCTTCTGGTCAGATTTTATGTACTCTGGTAAATGACTTTCAAAGAAATGCCATAAGTGGATAAAAATAGAGTTGAGGCAACTTTTAGCTGTTTAACCACTGAAATCAAGACTTGATCCATTTTAAACCATTAGTTTTAACCATGTTTTTGTTTTGTTTTGTAGAAGAGTGTGACAGCCCTTTGGTGTCCAACCTGCTGCCTTCGTCCTTCAGGAGCTCCTCCCAGCTGTCCAGCAGCCACGCACCGGGATTCGCCAAACTCAACCGGAGAGACGGTGAGGAAAAGCTCAGTCTGTGACCTAATCTGGTAATAAGTGATAATCATTCACTGATTGGCTTTAGATATTGTTCTTTCTTCAAGAGAAGATGAGTAATTCAGTTTGGATTACTTTTCCTGCAGATTTTGTCTTCTAACTAAAACTAGCAGACTTTGCTTGCAGGTTTTTCCCACCATTTCTTAATGACAGGATTTATTTTTTCATTGCTTTTTCTTCTCTTTGTATCAGTTTCAGACACAGAGCCAGTTGGACCTTAACTTTAGATCTTAACTTTAGTTCATCACAATAACTGGATTGAAATTACAGAGTTCTGTTTTCAAAGCACAAACTCATTCTTTGCAAAACAGGCAAGAACAAGAAAATTCTTTTAGAAATAGACTGTCCTGTTCAACTGTTTTATGGTCATTTGAAAGCTTTACTTTTAGCTTTCAGGCTGAAGGCAACATTGAAAATAAACTGCACAAACAAGATTTATTTAAAGTAAACACAGTTAGGCACAAAATCCATGCCACAATGGCTGAATAAGTGTTTAAACCCTGCAGCACGAAAGCCAAAATATCAAAATCTAAATCTGTTTTTATAGCCTCTCAGATAAACTATCACAGCAGCAGTGAGATGTTGAAATATATAGAGGATCAGAATGTATTTTGAGAGACAAGACAACACAAGATTAAGCTTTCTTTGTCTTTATTCTCTGCTGTAGCTGATGCTTTGTTTTGTTTTTTTGCACCAGAGGCTTGTATCAGGAATGTGAATGGTGTTTGTTCCACCAGCTGGAAGTCTCGTGCAGAAATCTGATTTGAGGCTTTGACAAAAATTGAGATTTTGGGATCGCTGCTTTATCTCGACATCAAAGCCCAGAATCAGCCGGGAGTGCAAGGCGGGTTTAATCTGGTTCTGACTGATTCTCACCACCTGGGAAGGCAAAGGAAGCTGAGCATGAAGAAATTCAGCAGCAGCCCATCTGCTGCCTTTGTTTGTTCATATGTGAACAAGCAGGACTTGAAAAGCTGTTCAAATAGTGAACATATTTGTAAAACACATTTGCTCGACACAACTGGTTAAAATGAATATTTTTTGATACTGCCAGTAATTTAGCATATTGTATTTAAAAGCCAAACTGATACATGTGGAATTAAAAAAAATGTGCTGATAGATTGGAATCATGATTGCTGGTTGGAAATATCTGCACATGAACAAAACTCTCTTCATATTATCTGTTCTTTTACTTCTGCAGAGATTTCAGTTTCTCATCTGCTTTGTAGTGATACTTCTGATCTCAATTAGATCTACAGCTGGACTAATGCAAGAACTTTTTACAATAATTAATTTCCTATGTACCTTTTCAGAGGCTAAGCCGCTAAGAGTAAAGTAGAGATGTATTTACAGTTCAATCCCCATAAATGTAATATAAATGGTTTGTTATCTAGTTTCTCAAGAAAAGGTCATCAGCTTAGGGGTTGTGTGAGGTCAGCTGTCATTCATAAAGCTGCTGCATAACTCAATGTTTAAACTTGCTTTGAAAAGCAGAAGTGGAGCCTCCTGCACAACCAACAACAATGCAGCAAGTGGTTTCTGGATGGTTAGTCATCAACAGAACACTTGTCTTTTACAGCAGCTATTGAGCAGCACATACAGCTTTGGTTGCTAGGTAACGGGCGGAGCTCCACTGGGGTTGCTAAGTAACAGACTGGGTTTTGCTGGAGATTCTGATTTGTGACTTCACATATGGAATGTTTTTGAAATGGCTCATTTTCCAGACACCAAAACAACAACAACAACAACAACAAAAAAAAAACCATTAACTTATTGCCAAAAAACCAAGCGCTATTTTTAAGTGCGTGGTTTGTTTTTAGGAACAGTAGAGATCCAATTGAAACTACAAAAATTAGGAAAATGGATGGATAGGTTATTGGAAACTTGCCTAAAATTCCACACAATAAAACCTGGTTAACTTCTACACTAAAAACGATTTTTTTTTTTTTTTTAAATTTAGCTATAGTTGTGATATTATGACTAACCAGCAATTACCAGCTAATATGAAGTGATACATTTAGGTTTAAAAAGTAAATAATAATTGATTACTGCAAACCCATAGCAGACTCGTAAATTGCAGTCACTTCAGACTGTATGTCTTAGCAGGTCAGAAGAGTGTCACTGTTTCTTCCCTCCTGATTTATTGGTGCCATGCCCAAAGGATCCCATCTGTTTGCTGAGGAAATCAATGAATAAATGAAAGCCTCCGTCTCATTCCCCATTGCTGCTGCCGCTGCTAATGCTGTTAGTTACCCGAGGAGCAGCTTTGCTTTCAGTTCACTTATTTCCTCAATGAATGGAAATGATTAACTTCCTACAATAGCAAGAACAAAACACATGCATTTGTATTTACTTTACACATGTGCATATGTTTTTTTCATGACTCTTGTTGATGGTGGAACAGGAGCAAGATGATAGAAGAAGTGAAAATCTACTGACTGGAAAATAACTATATTGCAAAAATAGCAAGTTTGTCAAGTGATTTCTACCCAATTTCAGCTGGTCGAGGTTTTACAGTTAGTTTGTAACGTCAGAGAAGAATGCTAAACAGAGTCAGTCTGTTTCTTTTGGAGACTTTGAGCTGAGGATGTCATATACAACAGGTCCCCATAATCCAAAATGGAAAACAATACAACTAAGATCAAAACTAATACTGAAGTATAACTTCACAAGTTGCTCAACATTTCTCATTTTACCGCATTTGGCTGACTGATTTTTTTTTTTTTTTATGTACAATATTACAATATTACAGCATTTTCCTTGTAATATTGTGACTTAATTCTCATACTATTAGGACTTTATTTTTGTATAATTTTAACATTATTCTTACAATATTATCACTTTATTTTTGTATTATTTTGACTTTAATATTATATTGACTTTGTAATATTATAGCTTTATTCGTAATTTTATTCATCTAGTTAATTTAGGCTTAACCCTTTTGACATTTTGATTGCTGTTATTTCACTGTTCTCCTATGGCCTCCACAGTCTCCAGAACTCAAATCAGTAGAAAACGTTCAGGATGTGATGAACTGGAAGAGTTGCATCATGCATTTGCAGCCCAGACATTTGCAGCATTTGCAGGCTGGCGTTTTGATTTAAAACTTTATTTCTAGTGAATATTAAACTGGTTTGCAGAATTCCCATGTTTTTTTTTTTAACTTTCATCCATGGCTTAAGTGCTTAGCCAATGAGCCTGCAAGATTATTTTAATATTCAGCAGCTGCAGGATGAATCAGTTTAGGCTTTATGTCTATCTGGTGAGATTTTGATTTTCAGTTCTCAATGCTTCTGTTCAATTCTTTCTTTATCTTGTTACTAAAATGTTCTATCTCCAGTCTCTGTTCCATAGATTATCATTTTAATTTTCTTCTTTCTGTGGAATCGTTTTCACATTTTAATCATAAGCTTTCGCTCCATCTATCAGTGAAAATGAATGGAGTGAACTTGCCAAAAGCTCATCATGTTCTCTGTGTTCAAATATTTTTGTTTTTTATTTTGGTTGGTGGGGAGGTTACCAGCTACTCTGGTTCAAATATTGTGGAACAGCCTTTAGAAAAATGAATGTGTTTCTTTTAATCAATGTCCAAATTAATTTGATGTAAAATGGAGGCTGTACCTTAAGTTGGAGCATGTTTGGTGTGTGAGGATGGCCAACTAATTAGGTGCTTATTCACATCACTGTGTGTGTTGAGTGTTCAAAGTTCCAATGCTGCACTTGAAGCTTGAATGGAAATGTCATGTCTGCAGGAAACATTCAGTGTTGGCCAGTATCGAGCCTATTAGTCTCTCCGTCCGGATGACATGTTATCAGGCTGCTGAAATTACCATCCAGTCCTGCTATTCTAATGCAAATGATGAGCTCTCACTCCAGCGCTCTTTCCTTTTCGGCTGCCTGCCTGGCTGTCTGCGGCGCTGCCGGTCTCCTCTCACCTGTCTCACACTGTAAACTAGCTCTTCATTTAACTCATGTCTCTTTGAATTTTACAGCCTCTCATATTTTCTTGTCAGGTGGAATATCATGGCGGTATTAATGATTCAGCAGTCTTTTGTTTACTTGCCTGCTTCGTACAGTGATGCATCTGACCACAGCAACTTTGTCAGGCTTGATCTCTTCTCAAAAGGTGGAGCAGAAAAATCCCACTGCACCTTGACTGGCTTTCTTCCTTACCTGTTGCATACACAGCCTGCACTGCTCAAATGACAAAAATCCACTTGGTTTCAGGTTTAAGTAGTACAATGTGTTTTCAAGGTCATTTTATAGCACAATTAAGTACATATGTTAACTAAAGTTGTTTTAAAAATGCTGTATATATCAAGTATGACTTAAAATAAATATAATTTGCTAATTTAACACCCTGAAATTGGGCCTCTATCTCTTTAAAATCTTCTGCTCTTTTTGAAACTCTGCTCCTATAATGAGCTCAGCAAATGTGCAGTTCTACAAGGCTTTTGCTAATTGCTGCTGGTTAGTCTGAAGGAGCTGAGTGGGGGAGTTGCTTGGAAACTGCAGCTCCAAGGGGAAGCTGTGTCTCGTAGGTGGATCTAGGTTCACCCAGTCGTTTTGCACAGCTAAATGGTTGTCATAGAGATCTAAGTTTTTTTTTTTTACAAACATTCATGAAAGAATCAAAGCAACACTTCGGGTTTGTTGTTGATGAGAGAAAAACATTATTATATGATGTAAAGCTAAAAAACTGCCTCTTGAAGTCCTTTGAGGTTACCTGCATCAGGTATTGGGGAGTTTTGTTGTTGGCTCAAATCTCCCTTTAATCCTGCAGCATGTTTTAACACCAGTGTTCGCTAAATGTCATCAGGCATTGGAGGATAAAATAAGGTTAAATCGACTGCATTTTACAAATCCAAAGGGAAGTTTCCAGGAAACCAATTTTTCTTGTAAATGGGTACCAACCGGAGAAAATAGCACAGTGGTCAATTAGAATAATTCCAGCTAATCAAGTCCAATTATTGCAACAAGGACCTCAGGGGTCTTTTTTTTTTTTTTGCAAACATTACATTAGTAAGACAAGGAAAATAGTTAGGTTTTTAAAATTGCTTTGTACCTAGAATTGGGTTGCATGAGGTCGTTTTGTGCCACTTCATCCACATAAATAATCTCCTGTAGAAGCTAACGGTGCATCGGATAGCAACATGTATTCCAAGGTATCAATTGCTTGACAGAACAAAACAAAAATGTACAAAACTCTTTAATCAATGCATTTTTAAACCCAATTTTGCTCTGTAAGTGTAAATAGTGTAAGTCAAAAGTTCACTTCTAAATCCAACCATGTAAAACATATTAAGCTATTATAACTGGTTTCTGTCACTGAGCAGCAGAATCCATGGCGTTGTGTTTGATATGAAGGAGCCGCCATGACAGGAAATATTCAGCCATCACTTTGTCTCTGTTTCAATTACATCTGACAGGGAGGACCCAGTAAATCTTTGCAACGCCTCTTAGTCACTGACACATTTGTCTCAGATCCCGCTCTCTGTTTCTCTGCCGTCTAATTGTCACAAGTAAAGGTCAGGATGTCTGCGCTTTTCCGTTCTGCTGTCGTTGGACACATCTGGTAGTGAAGCACGTATTAGCTCTGGCCTTTAGCTCTGGAAAGATCAGCCTGAAGCTTCACCCGACGACACTGATTCATTTTTACACAGTGTTTTTATGTTCCACATGATTCTGAACCCCTTAAACAAAAAGAAAATACTCAAACTTTAAATTATTTTGCACTGCATACATGTAATAAAGTTACTGAAGAAAATGCAGCTAGTAAAGTGGAACAAGTATTTGGATTAGAAATTAAAATTTGTGGTCATTTAGGTGCTGTTAGTAAGGCAAGTCTTGCTTTTTTTCAGTTTTTCTCAAAGTTCTTACAATAATCTCAGAATTCAGATTTTTTTTTTTTACAGAGTTCAGATTTTAAAAAAAAAATCTCGATTCTATAATTTTTCCGAATTCTGACTTTTTCAGAATTCTCACTTTTTTCTCAGAATTCCAACTTTAATCTCAGAATTCAGATTTTTTTTTTTTCTCCGAATTCTGACTTTAATCTCAGGATTTGGGCTTTTTTCTCAGAATTCTGACATTTTTCATGAAATTTTCACTTTTTTTCTCAGAATTCTGACATTTTTCATGAAATTTTCACTTTTTTTCCTCAGAATTCTGACATTTTTCATGAAATTTTCACTTTTTTTCTCAGAATTCTGACATTTTTCATGAAATTTTCACTTTTTTTCTCAGAATTCTGACATTTTTCTCAGAATCTTTACAATAATCTTCCAAGATCAAAATTAAGATTTTTGACATTAAAGTCAGATGTTTTTTTTTCAGTGGCCTTAATTCCTCTTCTGTACTAAATAAATTTGTTTTGTGTGTGTTTTTTTTTAACAAATTGGGGAAGAATATCCATTAACCTCAAACAGTAATTGTTTTCTCTTGATTAGTTTGTTTTATTTCTCCACTAAAGTCATATGTAAAATCGAATATTCTTTTGCCAGAAACGGGTAAAATAAAGCGAGCAAATGACAAACTGATTTAGCTGACAACACTTACCAAACAACAAGACAAAACATTAACATCTTGATGCAGAAAATAAAGCTTTTCTTATTAGTAGTGTTCAGTTGAAGAAACAAACCTTTATATGGGCTGTGAAACTGCTCAAAGCTTGACATTAAAACCCTTTATTGATGATATTTTAAATGGATAAGGAACCAATCTGACTGAGAAGTTACAGCACTAATCAATGTACCGCTGTGCAGCTTTTCAGCACAGCCGTATCAGGGGAGGCATGCTAACAGTTTGACATTCATTACAACTGTTCAATATGTTACTATTTAAACTTTTATAGGTAATGCTTTGTTAGGGGAATTCCTCTTAATCTTCAGAGAGGTTCAAATTCAGCATTAAATGTTAAGAAACGATGTATGTGACTTTGGTGTTATTATTTTAATCTATTTCTAGATTTTAATTTCCTTTAAATTAACTTGTTTGAATTTTACATTGCAAATAAACTTACCTTACTTTAAGCAAAATCGATTTTTTGAGCTGTATGTCAATAACCTGAAGAAATGTTGTAAAGAAGATGAGATCGAAGTTCCTCCACAACAACATGAATGATTCAATTATACGGAAACCAAATACTGAGTCATTGCTGCTAAATGTGGTCTTAAAATCTTCTGAATCATGGAGTGTAAATAGTTTGTCACCTGACTGTAAGATATCTGAAGTAAATCTATAAAACCCTTTTCACAATAGTTGCAAAATGTTTAAAATTCAGTACAATCAACAGTTTTACAGGCATTTTCATGACCAATAAACACAAAGTAGACTTTCAATATGATAGAAATCGATGCCTTTACTACAGTAGAAGTCTGCATGGGAGCTAAATGAACTAAGTGAAATATGCAATAAGTATTAAATATACTGTAAAGCTTTGAGTTATGCAGTATTAAAGCTGCAGTATCTAACTTTTATAAGAAATATTTTTTATATTTGTTGAAATTATCATTACGTTGTGACAAAATAAAACAGGTAATGTGTGAAAAATCAAGCTCCTCTGCCTTCTCCCAGTGCTAACTAGAAGCAACCAATCAGAGCCAGGAGGTGTGTCTCTGTGCTGTCAATCAGGCCTGTGTGTGCACCGCTCTGATTGGTTGTTTTTGCAGGGCGTGGCTCTTCAGATGAAAACAGCAGCACAGGGAGCAGATTTCACAAATTATCATGACATTATGATAGTTTTAACAAATTTGTAAAAAACATATATTTTTAAATAAAAGTTACATACTTCAGCTGTAAAGTTCTGTTTATTTTTTGTCTGAAATGAATCAGTTTTATCAACAAGTAAATAAGCAAAATAGACTACAGAAGTCCAGATTCTAGAAAAAATGAGGATAGACTTTTAATATGGACTATAAATTTATTCCCCACATCTACATGATTTACTTTCCGGTATTTCAGTTATTCCTTAAAGTCTGAAAATATAAAACACTTTTTCTTCTGCAGGAGCTGGAGGCTGGTCCCCCCTCACCTCAGACCGGTATCAGTGGCTGGAGGTGAACCTGGGCGAGCGAACCAAGATCACAGCTGTCGCCACACAGGGCCGCTACGGAAGCTCTGATTGGCTGACGTCTTACCAGCTGATGTTCAGCGACACGGGACACAACTGGAAGCAGTACAGACAGGAGGACAGCATAGGGGTGAGTCCATAAAGTCATAAAAATTTGCTGAAGCTTCAGTTCAATTTAACTCTCCTAGTATTTATGTAGTACTTAGTGTTTAACAATGTTAGTCTGCAGGGATCAGCCCTTCCTGAGTAAATTATCACAGTCATCAGGAGCCTTTGACTCTTCATTAATAATGGATGAACCAATGAAAGAGCTCAGCTGACGGTCCTGACCTGCTGCCAAAACACTTGAAGCTACTGTTGACGGCTGCAGAGAGAGCTGAGACCAGCCTGAAGCGTTGGCTCGCTCACTCTGTGTGTTTTATTGTGTATTTGGAAGAAACTCCATAGCTGAACTTCTTCATGTTCAGCCTGTCAGAAGTACAAATGAAGTCAGTTGAAAATACAACAGAGGTGAGGAGATGGAAGACAAACAATACCTCTATGTGGTTGAGCATTTATGCTGTGATGTTGGGTTTCATTTGTACAAAAACTGCATTAAATTTGTGTTTAATACAAAACATTTCTATATGGAAGAGGATTAGGGCCACCAAAAGAAATCAAGTAAAATTCTGACTTGGCACTCAAAATTTTGATTTGTTTTTTTCTTCTCAGAATCGTTTTAAAAAGCCAGAATTATTCTTCACAATGAGCCCTTTTAGGACCTCTTGTCACTTTAAATCCATATAAGTTGCTGCCGGCAGCGCCCATCCTAACTCAACATTTACACTCGCTCATGTAAATGGCTGCAAACAGATGCACAACTCTAATGCCATACATCTTTGAAAAGCAGAAGTAGGGCCTCCTGCACAACCAACAAGAATACAGCACATGGCTTCTGTTTGGTAAGTGAACAAAACACTAATCTTTTCTAGCAGATTAGTGGAAAAGATTGTTTGGTCAGCTGGTTTTACCAGCTGACCAAACATGCTGGAGCTTTATTTGGGTTGCTAGGTGATGGACTGGGGTTGCTAAGTAACGGCACAGTTTGTGACTCAACAGGTTTGGAGGTTTTTTGAAATGACTGGTTTTCAAGTCACCAAAAAACATTAACTTACTTCCAGAAACAGCTTTCGATGTTTTAAGTATTTGGGCTGGTTATGCAAAATGTGAATTTTTCTTAATAGGTCCCTTAAACGTGCCCGATCAGTCTGACTGGGACAGTGTCTTCTATTTAAAATATAATTCCAGTACATCAACAGCTAGCAGGTAGGAACCATGCTGTATTGTACATTTAGGAGGACATTTATCCGGAGTCAAAACGCTGCAGGCTTCAGGGCTAAGGAGAGGGGATTTTGATTAGAGTTTGAGTCGAGGAACTTCGCTCATGCGGAGAGAATCCAGCTAAGCTAAGTACTAAGGATCTTCTCAGGCGGACCAGAGAAGGGCTTCTTACGGATTAAAAGCATTTTGACCTGACACTCTGCATAAACTCTCACAATCTCCCTGACATTTCAGAGTGTTTTGGAACTCCTGTGAACTCAGAGCTTAGAGAGAGTGAAAATAGGAAGTACTGGAGCGCATTTTTCTGTAATGCTGATTGCTTCATTTTTCTTAACTGTACAACTGGAGTGGCTTCAGTTACTACTGTTTTGTCTGAATTTTAATAATTTTTATAATTAGTGTAAAAAAACACTCATGAGTGGTAGATAATGTAGACATCTGTTATGTTTTACAGTTAAAATATGTAGAACTATGTGACTTTGCATGACTGAGTCAGTATAATTTTTGAAAAATCCATTAAAAATCATTTATGAAGGGTTTCATTTTTTTTTACCACTGAGTAAACAAAATTTGAAAGTACTAAAATTGGTTGATGTAGGTTTATAGAAGCACAAAAAAGATAGAAATAAACAACTTGCTACAGTTAATTTTTCAAAATACTACTGCAGGACAGGTTTTCTTCAGAAAACCTTTATGTTTTCACTTGTTCTGATTGTTTGAATATCCTGAAATGTTTGCAGATATTTAAGTTAGCGACCAAACTAAAGTTGCCTTCATGTATTCATCCTAAATATGAAAAATTTGTCAAATTACCCCGGGCTCCTGATTGCTGAGATATGCACTAGTGGGTAAGGAGGTAAGAAGATATTTCTGAGTAACTGTAGTTTGTTTATCATGTCCCCGTTGTGTGTTTTCAGTCTTTTCCAGGTAACTCTAATGCAGACAGCGTGGTTCAGTACAAACTGCAGCAGCCGGTCGTGGCCCGCTTCCTGCGCCTCATTCCTCTGGACTGGAATCCCAGCGGGCGGATCGGACTGCGTCTGGAGACCTACGGATGTCCGTACAGTGAGTGCTCCATCCTTCACTGCTCTCATTAGAGTCTCTGGGGTTTAACAAAGAAAAAAATCACACAGTTTCTCATGCTTGTAGAATTAGTCATTAGTCTAACATATAGTGGATCCTAATGAGCGTTATAAGTGGTTTTAATTGATTTAATGGTCAGAGCTGCAGGTGATAATAAACAATTCAGGGATCTTTAAATGCATTGCTATTGAGTGATTCTAAACTTTATGGTGAAACAAATAATGGCTGAACTAATGAACTTGTTGATTATTGTTTGTGTGTTTTATATTTCAGGTGCTTAAAACCTCCAAACAACCAAACAAAAGTTTATTTCACTGCTTAATCAATGCCATAAGAGGAAATCATACACAACAGCCAAAACAAATACAAATGTGATGCACCACGGCAAACATATTAACGAGTTGGTAGAGCAGAAACGGAGAAAATATTTTCTGAGAGAACAGTGATTTGTGTTTTTTGGAGGTGTTTTGCAAAATGCACTTGTTCAAGTCATAAAGAAACCGCTCCACGCTTTAAATATATGTTTTGGAGGGTTTTAAAATGGTACACTGCAAAAACATAAAATCTTACCAAGTATTTTTGTTCTAGTTTCTAGTGCAAATATCTTAGATCTTGAAATAAGACAAAAATGACTTACAAGTAGCTATTCAGCAAAAAATAGGAGCTTGTTTTAAGTTAATAATTCCTTAAATAATTCAATTAATACTAGTACCATTGCAATTTATTTCACCAGTTGAATTAGCACTTTTCTTTAAAATCAGTTTAAGGAATTGACTTAAAGCAAGCTCCTATTTATTGCTGAATATTTGATAAGATTTGGTTTTGCAGTGTGAACTTTGTATTTGAATTCAGTTTGTTTACAAGTTTGAACAAATTTTACTTAATAAAGATGAGTTTACTTTTATTTTGAATATCAAAAACTGCATTAGGGATAAAATTTCCCTTTGTTAGAATAATATAGATGTTCAAAAATTTATCTTTTTAGCAGCTTTTTAAGATGAAATTATCCTGAAGGTTTGGTTCCCATCAAAAACTTTGGGAGAAACTATCAGAGCTGATTTCTCTGAAATCTCGTTTTCTGAGTGCCAACATTCTTTTGCCGTGACCAAAAAGTTCGGATACATGGCTTCTACACACACAACCATGCTGATATCTCTGCTTTGTTTCAATTTTCAGCTTCTGATGTGGTGGGTTTGGACGGCAGCAGCAGTTTGGTGTACAGACTAAGTCCCGGGTCAAGGCGGGCTCAGAGAGATGTCATCACATTGAAGCTCAAAACCCTGAGAAACTCCGGGACGCTGCTGCAGGCGGAGGGCAGGGAAGGAGTCGGCCTCCGTCTGGAGTTAGAGAGAGGAAAGCTACTGCTGCTGTTCAGACAAGGTGCTAATGTCTATTGATAGACACAGAGAGATCATGACGCTGCAGAACATTTAATCTGCAGAGAGTTGGTGGAATCTATCCGTGATGGCATTTCTTCTGATGAGGAGCATTTCCATTTCAGTCATTTGGCACATCTTCCAGACCTTTGATTACCTTCTATGTGGATGATGAGGAAAACACACACCTTACTTCCTGATTAAATCTTTGTGCCCACTCTTCTGATGCATCCCAGTCTGGTTAAAGCCTTGATTGATGGCGCCCATTTGCTGCAGCATGTGTTAGGGCTGGACTCTTCTGGTCTCGATGCATGCCAGGTGTGTCGCTGTGTGTGTGTGTATGTTTGAATAGGATTACACCAGCGGTTGTCATGTTGCCCATGCTGAATCATCACCATCTGGCACCTCTCTCACCAGAAACCCCGCTGACCACAGAAATACTTCATCTTCACATCCAGCTTCTCCTCCTGCCTTCTTCTCTTTGCACCCTTTTCCCTTTTTTCAGATCTTTTCCTGGATTTTCTCCTGATTTCAACAAACTCCAGAATTAGCAATAAAGACTGCATGATAGTTTCGGATCTCTTTATGTGCCAACCCTAATTTCAACCCAGTTTTTGTAAACACTGCAATTATAATCAAACAAAATATTTTTCTACTATCAAGAATTTTAACTGTTTTCACAACAAAATGTGAAATTAAACAATGCTGTCTCACAAATGGCAACCAGATACAGAGCTGTCTCTTTCACCACCAGCTGTGTTTTCATTTGCCTTAAAATTGCACAAATTTGAATTATGCAAAAAAAAGAAAAAAAAAGAAAGAAAAAATTGCTTAATGGAAACATACAAATTTTGACAAAACTCACAATTTTTGATAAAATGTGTAACACCTTATTTACTGCGGTAGGATGAGGTGATTGTTTGGCTTCTGTTTTTGGCAAAACTGCAAAGGAAACTTTTTATTTCCAACAGAAAAGTCATGGGATCAACAACAATGTATTTTGGTACATTGTAAAAACAGGAAACCTTACCAAGTGTTCGTCTAGTTTCTAGCACAAATATCTCTGCACACTTGAATTAAGACTAAATTAACAAGAACTTTTCAGCAAGATGTAGGAACTTGTCTTAAGTAAATGTTTACTTAATATTGATGAAAAATTGTTTCATTTGCAGATTATTTCACTTACAACACTGGGAAAAAGTCTTCTTATAACTGAAATGATCTGCCAATGGAACTAACACTTTTTCATTAATTTTAAGAAATTCTTGACTTAAAACAAGCTGACATATCTTACTGAAAAGAAACTTGTAAGTTAGTTTTATCTTATTTCAAGCGTATTAAAATATTTGCTCTAGAAACTAGACAAAAACACTAAGATTTTCTGTTTCTGCAGTGCACAACTCTACTTTGTGTTTATTTTTTTAAGGAATTTTCAGCCAAAAGAATCCTCTTAAAATCCCACGTCATTAAAGAGACACTATAATTTAGTGAGTAGGAATTAAACCGATCCATCAAAATCATGGTACAAAGGCAGAGGATGGTTCTGAAGATACTTTCTTCTAACTACTCCCTCTCTGCCTTCTCGTTTCTCTTTTAGTTTCCTGTTTTCGTTTGATTATTATTCGCCTTTGTTGTCTCCGTGATAACAAGCGGTAATTTGTCTTTTTAATCTCCAGATATAGCATCTTTCGATCTATTATCCTGTCTCCCTCTTACATTACTTTGTATTTGGGTCTCTTGGTTGAATGATCTTTATATTTCTGATCCTCATTATTTCAGTTTCTGCCTTTCTCTTTGTTTTACTTCGGAAACTCTTCATCCACGGATCAGAAATTTTGGTTTCAGACTTTGTAATTTGGTTCATCTGATTTGTACATTGGCCTGGAGCTCAGTCATGCTCCACTTTGCTGAGCTAACGACGACTCAATCTCCTTCAGAGAAGATGTACTGTACTTTAAAAAGCAACCTAATATAGCATTTATTTTAAAACATACAGAAATCTGTAATTTACTGTTAATTGAAAGAATGAGGTCATCCATTTTTATTTGGTTTTTGCACAGTGACTAAGCAGACATTCAAAGCCACTGTTACCGTCTGCATGAGTTGTTAAGTTTTCTGAAATAGTAAAATTGGTTACAAATAAATTAACAATTATGATCATCTTATCTTAGGGATGAATTTTGTATTTTTTGTTAAGGCAGTTCATTGATATATCAGCTTGGTGCTTTACCAATGAATACCAACTCACAATCCATATTAATTTTATTCATTTTATTTTAATCAAGTTAGAAAAACAAATTAATGCTGATATGCACCTGAAATTTATGTTTGCTGAATAATATTCACACACTCAACTGTGGCCAGTAATTATGATGCACATAAGTAAAAGAAACAGATGGAGGCAAGAACATCTTATTTATCTATTTATTTATTTACTTCATGATAAGTGATGTAATAAAATCCCAAATGGCTTACCATTCTAATTGCACACACAACATTTTCCTTTCCAGTGTTTGATAATTAAGGTTGGAGGTGATTAAAATGGATATATCAGTGCATGAGGGATAATGCTGCAGCGCAATCAGACCTCCTGCTCGGCCTAATGAAATTTATGGTGGGATGTGATTTACAGTTACTCCACTGAAAGTATTTAGGAGAGCTTTCAGGAATCAATTAAACAGCCAATCCAACCCCCTCCAACTTTAATAAAACATCCCATGGTTATTAGCATCTATTCATTTATAAATATGCTTTTTAGTGAAAGTTAAGCTGAGTAAGTTGGGACAGTTTTACAGCCAGGAAGTAATTAATCTTATTTAGTTCCTTCCCACAGTGGACAAAACTGATGATATAAACAGACACTAATGTTTCATCTTTTCATGTCTGCTTGCAGACTCTTTCTCCATATTCAATATTTACAATCCTATAAGCAAGGAGCTCATTGATTACAGATGACCTCTATTACAATTCAGATCACAATCTGGTGCAAGGACTCATTTGCTTGGAGCAATATTTGGCTTTTATATTCTGCACCTCAATTTTTCAGAACAAAAATTCAAAGCACTCCATTATACGACGGAGTATGAGGACGATTGTAGATGCAAAAAAAGAGTAGTACACTTCCGCTAAAACAATCAGAAGTTTTCAGATTAATCTCAGAAATTTTCCAGAAAAAAGAAATCTGAAATTTTTCAACTTTTGAAACTCTGAAATTTCCATTTTTTTCCTTACAATTTAAAAAAAAAAAAAAAAAAACTTTCCCGGTGCTTTTCTAGTACGTTTTTGACTTTTTAAACTCAAACACTTCAAAGTTGTTTTTTTTCTAAAACATTTCTGAGATTAATCTCAATATTTTTTTCTTGCCAAATTTTTGATTTTTGGAACTCAGACATTTCCTTGTTTTTTCTAAAAAGAAATTCTGAAATCACAATTTCAGATTTGTTTTGGTGGAAATTTACTTTTTTCCCCCCCTACCTACAGTAGTCCTGATATGCTTTTCATAACATGATGTGTATACATAATCCTTGAATTTTGTTTATTGCCACTATACCACAAAATTTATTCAATGCATTTTATTTAGATTTTCTGTAATGGACCAATGCAATTGTGTGTATATAAGTGGAAGGAAAGTGATTTTCAAAATGTTTTCAAACATAAATCGCAAAAGCCGTGCACCTACTGGTAAATGGAGTCAATTTATGTGTAAATCAATATTCGTATAAATAAATACAATTGTTCTCTGATTATTCAATCCGTTGTGTGAAATATTACTGTCAATCATTGTGAAGGGAGCATTGAAAAACATTCATATCCACAATCCCCAAAAAGCTGATTCAGGGGCTAAAATATGGACAGATCACACTTCAGAAGAAAACTTGTGACATAGTTTATGTGCAAACCTTCTCAATTTTACATGTTATTATATTTAGCTAATTGGACCAACTTTTACTGCCATCAATCATCACATTAATGCATATTTTCAGTTGCAGAATCTCACAAAGTTTGTTAGTGACATTTTGATGAAGAAAATTCTTCAAAATGTTAATCATAATTGATGTATTCACACATATTTATCCTCATCGTTTTCCTTCCATTTCACGGTTATCCTCTACTTTATTGCAACTGTGATATATGCACATACAAAGGCTACTGAAATTGAAATAATGAGAAGGGTACGTGTTTTCAAACTGTACATTTATTGATGCCTAAAATGAATGGCCCTTTGTTTCAACCTGCAAAATGTTCAGTAATGGGTGGGTGGAGCTGCAGGCTGTGATGTGGAAGAGCAAAGACAGAGACTACTTCATAAATGAATATCAATTCATTCTCCTTGTTTGCACTCTCATATTGATTCCCGTTTTTGCTTTTTCTTTTCAATTATTCAAGTTGTAATGAAATCTTCCCTCTGGAGAGATTCTATCTTGCAGTCCTCTTCCTGTTCTCACTACTTCATACAAACTAATAACTGTTCCATTAATCAATGCAAGTCAAGAAATCTAATTTGCTTTCATGTTGAGCCGTCGTCTTTTATTGACTGCTGCTTCTTTTTTTGTTGTTTTTAATATACTAAAAGTTTCACAGCATTTTTCTCCATGTAAGTGAAGTTGCATTTTTTACTTTAAACTTTTAGTGAAATACTTTTTACTGCAAACAACACAAAATCTTACAAAGTATTTTAGTCAATTACAATTGAAATAATATAAAATTAACTTACAAGGAACTTTTCAGCAACATATATGAGCTTGTTTTATGTCAATTATTCCTTAATATTGATGAAAAGTACTTGCTAGATTGGCAGATTCTTTACTTTTAACAAGACATTTTTTCCATGTTATAAATAGTGGAAATATTACTTTTTTAATCTATATCTCTTAATCTTATCTTTTAATCTAAGGAATTACTTAACTTGAAGAAAGTAACCAAGTGAGTTTTTTCTTATTTCAAAAAGTACTTGGTAAGATTTTGTGTTTTTGCAGTGTAAACTCACAAAATATTATAACATGTTTGTCTTTTACCAAACTTTACATTTTCTCTCTGAAGTTAAAATTGATGTTGCCTTGCTAATATCTTATGCATTTTTAATGCTATATTGTATTCAGTTCTTTCTACTCTTCCGTCTTGCAGCAGAAACAAGTTTTTTCTCTCAGTTCTTTGGGGATTCTGGAACGCATCCACTAATTCGGGTCTGCTGGTGCTCATTTATGATTAATGATGCGTTCCCTCTGTAGTCTTTCAAATTAGACTTCATAACATATTTGGCTTCTGTTTTTCGCTGCTGGTATATAGATGTTGACAGGAGTCTCCAGCGAATTTGGAGAAGGTGACCTCGTCGTGATCCTCCCTGTAGTCTGAACTGAATGAAAACATTCAGAGCAGAAAAGAAACTTTTAACACTATTGAAAACTTAATAACTTAATTTTTTTTGTCTACTTAATTTTAGGTAGGACTTCATCTGCTGAACCTCGACGTCTTGCAGCTCTTGGAAGCCTTTTGGATGATCAGCATTGGCACCATGTGGCAGTGGAGCTACACGGCCTTCACCTCAACCTCACAGTGGATAAACACACGCTGAGGGTTAAAATCCCGCCAGAGTTCCACCACCTCGACATACAAGAGGTCTGATGAACCGAAAAGCTGCTTCAGCTAACAGCATAAATCCACGGTTCTGAGTTGCTAATAATCTGTGTGTTTGGGATCACAGCTGCGCGTGGGGGCAGGTCAGGCTCTCGGGTCTCACAAGCCATTTCACTCCAAGAGGAACTTCCACGGCTGCCTGGAAAACCTGCTGTTCAACGGTCTCAACCTGATCGGACTCGCCAAAGTCAAGGACCACAAAGTTTCTCTAGTGGTAAGTTTAATCCACCACCAGGACTTAGTCCTCTGCTAGGAGTATCTGTTCAGACTGGCTTTAAAGAACAGATCCGTGGCTACGTTCACACAGCAGGTCTTTTTTTTTCTGAAATCTTATGTTGTTGTTTGCGGGTCGTTCAATCAAACCCGACTGTAATGAGACTTGTGTGTGAACAGTTTATGTCCCCAAAGTGACCGACATGCGCAGACGAAAAACGTTGACGTTTCACAGCATCGCATTGCTTACTGAAGCAACGATATATGGATCTGTTTATGGATCGATTTAAAAGTTTATTCACCAATAAGAGTCGACAGGATTATAACAAGATTTAGAAAACTAAAACACAATTAATAACAATTAAATGCAAATATCTTAGTACATTTGAATTAAGACAAAACTAATTTACAAGTAAGTTTTCAGCACAACATAGGAGTTTAAGTCTAATTCCTTATTATTGATGAGAAAGTATTAGATACAAGTGAAATAATCTGCCAGTACTTTTTCATTAATATTAAGGAATTGGTGTAAAACAAACTCCTACGTTGTTTTGTAAAATTACTTATGTTAGCTTTGTCTTATTTCAAGTGTACTAAGATATTTGAACTTGAAACTGGTAAGATTTTGTGTTTTTGCAGTGTAATTATTTCTTTTTATGTTTTCATTGTTGTAAATGATTAGAAATAATTCACCAGGTTAGAATCGTTTATTATTTTTTGTAGCTGGGGTTAAGTTTTGTTACCTGCTTGCCTTTTTTAGCTTCATCTTGAGATGAAGATGTTTCTTTATAAATAAAAAGGTGAAGAAACAAAAACATTAAGGACAGCAGAAAGAGAAACTCGGCATTGAAAGTGTCCTAATAGTGTTTTTCCCTTTTCATTTTCTCTTTATTTAAGCTGTATCAGAGCCTTTCAGGTGTTTCTATGGACATTAAAGGAGCCATCACTCTTAGGGAAAGTGTGAGGAACTCCTGCTGGGGATAATAAAAGCAAATTCAAACTGTGGACGAACATGTTCAGACTCTTGAAGTCAGGTGTTGTAATGAGGCTCTAACTCTGAAAGGGACTGTCAGCAAACTTACAGCCACTTCCACCGCAGAAAACTACAAAGTGCTTTTTAACGTTCTGCGGAGGACGCTTAACAAGACAAGAGGTGGAGGAGATATCTTGTCAGTTCCCAGGGTTTTTAAGGTAACGTTTTTATGAGGCAATGAAGCCTTCTGAGACTTGAATCATTGCACGTCATTTTAAGTGCACCACAAAGAGTTTTTACATGTCATCTGTGCTTCCATTGCATGGTAAAAGCAACTGGGGATAAAACTCCCTGCATATCTGGCACCGTTATAGTTTACTGCTGCAGCCTGAGCATCGGACAGTTTCATCATCACTACTGAGAACAACAATCTGATGATGCAGGGTGCTCTCTTCTTTCTGATTTTGATTCTTTATCTGTTTTACCTTTGCGTGAGGTGACTTTGGTATTTTAAGTATTCGTTTCTAATCTTATCCCAAGCTTTGCTGTTATCAATATGGAAATACAGTTGTCCTCCTTAAGGAGACTCGCTGATGAGATCACCGTGACAGAGGCCACATCAACGCGCCCTCTGCAGCTGATTAATATTCATGTTTTCTGATGCTTTATCTCTCCAGTAGTCATTTAGTTCACTCTAAGTTTTCTTTTTTCTTTTTTGTTTTTCAAGGGCAATGTGACCTTTTCCTGTGCCGAGCCAGTTCCTGTTGCCGGGACGTTTCCCGGCCTCCAGAGCTTCCTCCAGTTGCCGTGGACAACGCCATCGTCTTTGGGGAGCGTGTCGATTGGGTTTCAGTTTCGGACCTGGAACAAGGCGGGGCTTTTGCTCACCTTTGAGCTCCCTCAACAGGGAGGCGTGGCCTGGTTGTTTCTGAGCGAGGCGAAACTCCGCCTCCAGATCCAGAAAGGAGGACGGGTTCTGCTGGAGCTCTGCGCAGGTCAGCTGAACGTCACTTCTAGACTACAATTTAACCAGTAGTCTAATGTCATAGGAAACCATGAACAAGCAGCAAAGTTTGGTCACAGTTATATATCTGCATATGTTTCAGGATGTTGTGCATCCCTTAAAACAATCGGAACGAGTGTAAACATTGTATAGCCACTCCAGTAACACTTTATTTGAAGGGTTGTGCATAAGACTGACATAATACCTGTCATAAACATGAAGGAGTCTTTATGAATGTCTTCTTGAAGTGTTATTTGGTAAATAATTACATTTTTTATGTAAAGTTGCACTAAAAGTTGCATTAAAAGTCCATTAAATGTCAGTTTTGCATTATTCAGTAAATAATTACACTTTAAATGCAAAATGTAATTAAAACTTGCATAAAAAGTGTCAATTTTGCATTAAACGTGTCATTATTTACCGAATAAACATTCATGAATCCATTAATCCACCCAAGCATGGCTGTCTTGTTTGACAAGCGTGTTTTACAGAACCTATTTTTTTTTTTTCCAACTTTGATGTCAGGTAAATATATTTTGTTTATTAAGTCCTCATGTTAAACAAACATAAGTAAATTAAGTTTGACAAACTTAATCTGACTATAAATTAACTCAATACTTTTTAAGTTGGAACTCCATTCTCCTTGTACGTTGTTTCTTCACCATTAGCGCATGGAACAGTTCATACACAAGCATGATTAACAGCGCGAAGACCCTCCTCCTGGATCTGATTGGTTGTTTTTGAACAGGAATGATGCATTTCTGCAAACTGCAATAGTAGCACTGGGAACAGCGCTGTTTTCTTCTATTTCATATGACACAGTCTGAATAAATATGTAGAAAACATTTTTTTGTAAAAATTATATACTGCAACTTTAAAGGGGATTTTAAAAAGATGTAGCGGACCAACAAATATGCATATTGACAATGTTGCTGTTGCATAATAATCTGAACATATGCTTTTTACTGATTGCTGGTAGCTGGTCACATGGAGACTCTGAAGTATGAAGCTAGTCTGAGTAGCACTGATTTTCCTCTTCCTCTCTTCATCTTGTCCCTAAACTCGGTGCCAGCGCTTCTCTTTGACTGCATGACAAATGGGTTTTGTCCCTCAGAAACCTGCATATGCCCAATTTGCAAGGGTGCATACTTTCCCCCATTGGGAGCTTCGGAGGTGACTGACCTCTCTGCCAGGGCCTTAGCACAGCATTTATTTACTTTTGCTTGGAGAGTGGGATCCTTTAGCTGCTTTGTGAGATCCCATGTGTTGCAGCCAGAACAATGGATAAAAGCCAAGCGCACAGCAGCCGTGTTGTAAAGTGTTGCTTTAATATGCTACTTTATTTAGTCTGCTGTAAATGTAATTAGGTTATATCCTTTCATTACTATCCAGTGTGAAGGACCCCTACCTAGGGGTGGACATTTATCATACATAACATTTATCATGAAATCTTCTTTTTATCATGATAAGAATTCTGATTTGTTGTTGTCATAATAGATTTCAGTTACTGATGGTACATTGAAATTCAATTCAATTCCTTTTAACCATATCAAATGTTATTAAAGAAATTTTAAAGCAGCTAGGTAGGAAACAACTTTCCAAATGAAAACACTCTATGTAAATTTGTATGGACTTGCAAAGTTGTTCTATTATTTACTGTTTGGTGAAGAATGTACGTACAAAATCTATATACAATTTTACCTTATTAGCAATGACAATAGCTTTATGAATAAATATTAGATTACACACGTTGTTTGGTCCCTGGAAGAGGACGCTGTGCACAATACCCCAAGATGTTGAAATTATGTTGTTGAGCAAATCGTTGCCACAGGAAAAAAATTGGCAAAGGACATAATGAGATATTGATGCACTTCAACAACAAACAGATACTGAGGGCTGACGAAGCTCTGCGTGGGTTTGGAACAAGTCAATCACAGAAAGAGTGCAACTAACCTGCTGCTGCTGTTTCTGCAGTCAATATGTATGAATGAGCCTTAAAATGTTGTCTTAATTATGAGACATGATTTCTAAAAAGCCAGTGATAGGCTAGCAGTGTAAAAACTCTAAATCCTACAGAGTGTTTTTGACAAGTGTCTAGTTTACATATCCTAATACATTTGAAATAAGACAAAATAAACTTGTAAGTAATTTTTCAGCAAGTTATAGGACCTTATTTTAAGTATAATTATAACAAGACATTTTTCCCATGTTTGAAATTATCTGTCAGTGGAACTGTTACTTTTTGAATCAATATTTAGGAATTACTGACTTAAAAACAAGTTCCTATTTCATGCTGAAAAGCTCATTTTGTCTTATTTCAAATGAACTAAGATATTTGCACTAGAAACTAGGCAAAAATACTTTGTAAGATTTTGTGTCTTTGCAGTACGGATTAGAGTTCCCACACTGCAAAAATACAAAATCTTACCAAGTATTCTTAGCTAGTTTCTAGTGCAAATATTTTATCACACTTCAAATAAGACAAAACTAATGCATAAATAACTTTTTAACAAGATATAAGAGCTTGCTTTAAGTAAAGAAATTTCTTAAAATTGATGACAAGATTTTTGTTCCACTGGCAGATTATTTCACTTGTAACATGACACAATGTCTTGTTATAAAGTGAAATAATCTGCTAATGGAACTAATTTTCTCATCAATATTAAGGAATTAAAAGCTCCCGTATCTTGCTGAAAAGTTACTTGTAGGTTAATTTTGTCTTATTTTGAGATATTTGTCCAAGAAACCAGACCAAAAAAACTTGTTAGATTTTATGTTTTTGCAGTTTTTGAAATGTGAATCTGTCTTTAAGGTTCTGCTCTCAGTGACGGCCAGTGGCATTCAGTGGCGCTGACCTCCAGGCGAAGTCATCTGAGTGTCTCTGTGGATAAAGATGAAGGCGGCAGTGCTCAGGCCAGCCCGTCATTTCCTATCGCAGTAGAACGTCACGTCTTCTTCGGTGGTAAGGGCAGAAACAGATCCTAACTGAGCAGTTCAGACTAAAGAATTAAACTTCAGCATCATAACTGTCTTGTCTTCTCCTCAGGATGTCCTGCTGGAGACGCTCAAGGATGCAGAAACAACTTCAGTTCCTTCCAGGGCTGCATGCGTTTACTCAGACTGGACGGCAGGATTATGGACCTGATCGCGGTGCAACAGAAACAGCTGGGAAATTACAGCAACCTGCAGATTGACATGTGTGGAATTATCGACAGGTTTGTAGTTTAGACAATCTTGATTACTCTTTCTTATCCGTGGTGCAGACAGTTCTGGAAATTTGGCTCTTTATACACACAAAGACAAAGTTTTAATTGACGTGATGCATAAAGTATAACACTTACAAAAAAGCTTTATTTGAACCTTTAAGATTCAATTTTGTATAGATAAGAGAAAACAAATCTATCCTTCCAGTTCTTTCTTTCTTTCTTTCTTTCTTTCTTTCTTTCTTTCTTTCTTTCTTTCTTTCTTTCTTTCTTTCTTTCT